AGAATTTTGATCTCTCAACGTTGCATCATGCAGTTTTGGAGTCACTGTCTGGGTTAATGCCCTTTTCTGTAAAATGGGGATAATAATACTACCTACCTGGTAGGTTGTTATGTGTGAGGATTAAATGAGACAATGCAAAATTGCTGCTATTATTATTGCCTCTTGGCCCTTTAACCCCTTCACTGCATCTTTCTTGAAACTCTGCCCTTGGCTAATATGTCACAAGGCTCTCCTAATGCTCCCTGTCATTCTCTGTATGCAGCACTGGCTTCTCTTCCCCCTCCCTGCTCCACAGTCAGGGGCAGCCCTCTAGGTTCTCTTGTCAGTCCTGTTTCCACTAAGCTCCTTTGTCCCTGCTGACAGCCTAATCACTGTTTACAGATAGATGTTTCCTTCACCTCTATCTTCAAATCTAAACTTCAGATCAGCATTTCCATTGGCCTTCTAGCCATCTCTGCCTGATTTCCCATTCACCTAAAACATGACATACTTAAAACTGAAGTCACTGCTTTTCCTCTAAACCAGGTCTTCCTCTGGACTTCCCAGTTTCCACTGGTGATACCCCTAAACACCTAGGCTTTAGGAAGCACTGCTGTCTCTTTATCTCTCTCTTTTTTTTTTTTCTCTTTATCTCTCTTTAGCCTTACACAGCCTACAGCCATTAAAGCCCATGGATTTATTTCCCATTGAAGTCGTTGGCATCTGTTGCTTCCTTTCCATTTGTGCCATTATCACCCTAACCAGACTGACAATTTCAAGAGAAGAGCGATTCACCAGGAAGTAGCATGGTTCCCTCCCCCCATTTCCTTCTCTTTCTTGCTCTCCTGATAAATGTACAACCTCTTGACTTCTCATAATAGAAAGTCAACTTGTCACCTGTAGCATAAGAATCTTAAGGAAAGACACAAGTTCATCACTCTGGGAGTTCCCAAGATATTTTAATGTTGAATTGCGGCCTAGATCTTGCTAAATGTGAGGCTCATAGTTCGTATTTCACTTACTTGTTTGATAAACTTAAAAGTATATTTCTGAATGTATTTATATGATTGAAAGCTCAAGAAATATTCAAAGGTATGCAGCGTGAAGTCTCCCTCCCATCCTTGACTCCTGTCTCCCAGACCCCACTCCTCCCCCAATTAGCAACCACTGTTCTAGGTTTCTAATTAATTCTTCCAGAGTTTCTGATTATTTTTTTCCCTTGTATTATATAGTGCTCTATATTTTGCTTTTTTAAAAAACTTAATTATGTATCATAGCCATCTTTCTATATCAATAGAGTGTTTTCTCTTCCTTGAACCCTATAAATTCAAGGATGAAAGGGAAGGGAGAAAGACAAAATGCAGGGAAACCAATCAAGAAGTTATATTAGTCCAAATATTCTCTATGATGATGTTTAATGTCCTTATATCAGAAATCACATCACAAATTCCCCCTAGAAGTTAGTGTTAGAGAATGCTTGTCTCTATTAGAGAAATGATATGAGAAATATATAACTTGTTTGTGTTTCCCTGGGGTTTTTGTTTTGCCTCTGATTCCAGGGCAAATAGTGCTAAATATAAATGTACAAAAACCATCTCATCACCATTTAAAACTTGTAATTTCTTTTTTTTTATTTTTTTTATTTGAGACATTGTCTCACTCTGTTGCCCGGGCTAGAGTGCCCTGGAATCAGCCTAGCTTCAGGTCAGTGCTCCCAGTCAGCAATCTTCCTGCCTCAGCCTCTCAAGTAGCTGGCCAGCCTCAGCTGGCTGCCTCAGCCTCCCAGAGGCATGCGCCACCATGCCCAGCTAATTTTTTCTATATATTTTTAGTTGGCCAATTAATTTCTTTCTATTTTTGGTAGAGACAGGGTCTCACTCAGGCTGGTTTCGAACACCTGACTTTGAGTGATCCTTCCACCTCAGTCTCCCAGAGTGCTAGGATTACAGGTGTGAGCCACTGCACCAACCTTCTATTTTTTAATTTATTTTATTTTATTTATTTATTTATTTTTATTTTTTATTTTTTTAGAGACAGAGTCTCACTTTATTGCCCAGGCTAGAGTGAGTGCCATGGCATCAGCCTAGTCCACAGCAACCTCAATCTCCTGGCTCAAGCGATCCTACTGCCTCAGCCTCCTGAGTAGCTGGGACTACAGGCATGTGCCACCATGCCCGGCTAATTTTTTCTATGTATATTTTTAGTTGGTCAATTAATTTCTTTGTATTTATAGTAGAGACGGGGTCTCGCTCTTGCTCAGGCTGGTTTTGAACTCCTGACCTTGAGTAATCCTCCCGCCTCGGCCTCCCAGAGTGCTAGGATTATAGGCATGAGCCACCACCCGGCCCCGACCTTCTATTTTTTTTTTTGTTTGTTTGTTTTTTTTTTTTGAGACAGAGTCTTACTTTGTTGTCAGGCTAGAGTGAGTGCCGTGGCGTCAGCCTAGCTCACAGCAACCTCAAACTCCTGGGCTCGAGTGATCCTTCTGCCTCAGCCTCCCGAGTAGCTGGGACTACAGGCATGCGCCACTATGCCCGGCTAATTTTTTATATATATATATCAGTTGGCCAATTAATTTCTTTCTGTTTATAGTAGAGACGGGGTCTCGCTCTTGCTCAGGCTGGTTTTGAACTCCTGACCTTGAGCAATCCGCCCGCCTCGCCTCCCAAGAGCTAGGATTACAGGCGTGAGCCACAGCGCCCGGCCCCGACCTTCTATTTTTAAATACCATGTTATGTCTATGTTTTATTTTTAAAAAACTACTTTAAGTCCTTTTAAAAATAGCATATGATTATTTTGGAAAATATAGAAAAATATAAATTCCCACTACCCAGAGGTAATCACTATTAACATTTTATTGTATGTCTTTCCAATAATTTGTATGTGTGTGTATCTTTAACAAAATAGGGCTGATTTCACTTGAATATAGTGTTCATTATACCAAAAAAAAAATTAAAAAGTATAAAAAAATAAAAACAAAAAACAAAATAGGGCTGATAATGTAAATAAAGTTTTCGTATCCTTTCCTTTCTAAACATTATATTGTATTTTTCTTATTATTAAATATTATTCAAAGACATGATTTTAAAAGGCTGAATAATTTTCTGTTAAATGAATTATAATTTATTTAAAATTTTTTGTCTATCTCAGTTGTTTTAGAGTGGTTAAGAGTGTAGATTCTGGAGTTAAACTGCCTGGGTTCAAATCTTGGGTTCACCACCTGTTAGTTGAGTATCTGCAGATAAATTTCTGAACCTTTGCTTCTTCATTGAATTCCAGGGCAAATAGTGCTAAATGTAAATGTACAGAACCATCTCATCAGTATGGGGATATTGTTAACATGTACTTTGTGAGAATTAAATGACTTGCTTAAGGTGCTTAGACCAATATCTCATAGTATGTGCTCAATAAATATTCAAATTTTCCCCAACTTTTTCTTTTTTTTTTTTTGAATCAGAGTCTTACTCTCTTGCCCAGGCTAGAGTGCTATGGCATCAGCCTAGCTCACAGCAACCTCAAACTCCTGGGCTCAAGCCATCCTCCTGCCTCAGCCTCTTGAGTAGCTGGGACTACAGGAATGCGCTACCATGCCCTGCTAATTTTTCCTATATTTTTAGCTGGTCAGTTAATTTCTTTCTATTTTTAGTAGAGACAGGGTGTCACTGTTGCTCAGGCTGGTTTCTAACTCCTGACCTTGAGCAATTCTCCCGCCTCGGCCTCCCAGAGTGCTAGGATTACAGGCGTGAGCCACCGCGCCCGGCCTCCCCAACTTTTGAGATTATAAATTAAATTGTAGTGAACATGTTCTGACCACATCTCTGGCTTTCTTAAAATAGATTCCTAGAATTGGAAGTATTAGGCCAAAGATAAAAATATTGTTATAGCTCTTTAATGAGACTACCAAAATGATTTCTAGATTTATACCAACTTACACCCTTACTAGCAATGTATGATAATGCTATTTCACCAAACTCTTATGGTAAGTTTTTAAAAATCTTTTTTTTTTTTTTTTTGATACAGAGTCTTACTTTGTTGCCTGAGCTAGAATACAGTGGTGTCATGATAGCTTATTGCAACCTCAAACTCCTGGGTTCCCGAGTAGCTGGGACTCCAGGCATACACCACCACATCCAGCTGGTTTTTCTATTTTTTGTAGAGACAGGGTCTCCCTCTTGCTCAGGCTGGTCTGGAACTCCTGAGCTCAAGCAATCCTCCCGCCTTGGCCTCCCAGAGTGCTAGGTTTACAGACGTGAGCCACTGCCCCTGACCTTAAAAATCTTTTGAATTCCACCCTCCGTTGATGATTCCAAAATCTTAATCTCCAGTCTAGATTTCCTGAATGCGGATCCAGACATCTTTATACTGACTTCATGCTGAGAAACATTTTGATAATTTATTTTCCATACCACTTCCTCATAGCTAAAGGAGAATATACTGGTCAGTGGGGAAAAAGAAGTCTATCTTTTTGATGTTTATATTTCTCATCATAATTTATAAAATGGCATCTTGTCTCTCATGTACATATGGTATATGTGTGTATCTGACATACCACATACACATATATCTGATATATATCTACACCTATGTACAAACTCTGTGAGTTTGATTAAATACAGAGGATGAGGGAATAGGGAGGGGAGCAGGAAGGCACTAGCCCCTAAGAAGCAGATCCTTTCTCTGTAGAAGAACAAAATCAGGTTTATGCTGAGTTTCTGAGAGTCAAACCCTGAACAGTGAGGACCAATGTATTCATAAATGCTATCCATTATTTCTCTTAGCACCTAGCCAGCTATCCATTCTCCTTTTTCTTTCTTTCTCATCCCTACCTCCTCCTTTTCTATACTAGTTAGCTATTAAAGGAAATATTTAGATCCTTCCATCACACAATATACCAAATAAATTCTAGAAGAGGTAAGCAGTAAACACACACACACAAAAATAGAAGTAAATATTCATCAAATATCAGGAGATAGGAAAATATCCTGAGAGTAGAAGAGATTGAAAACAAATTATGAGGAAACTGTCAACATGTTCCATTCGTTTACTTAGTTATTAGTTTCCGAGTCTGCAGGGTGTAGACGTGGAGGCTGAAAAGGGAGAGGTTTGGGCTGGGTGGTTCCAGGTTCCTGGGTTAGGCACTGGAGGGCATGGTGGTACTAATCCCTAAGAAAGGAGATAAAGATGATGGAGTTAATTTCAGGGATTAAGAAAAGGCAGCAGTAATAAGTTTGGAACACACTGAATTTGAGGTTGTCTTCTGCATCTAATTGGTAATTGATAATCATGGTGATGACAATAATAATAACTGCAGCTCATTTATTATTGAACAGTTATAATGAGCCAGGTACTTGCTGAGTTCTTGACATTTGCAATGTCTCTTTGAGTCGTTACAATTCCGTGAAGTGGGTGCTCCACTCTTATCAACTACAGGTGAGGAAATGGGTGCATAAACCACAGTAGAGCTGGGCTTTAGATCCTTCTGCCCAATCGCATAGCGCATGTGCTCATCCACTGTTGTGTATGCAGCTTCCAAGTCCTGCTGGTTCTGCCTCCTTGCCTCATCCTGTCTACTTTCCATCACCACTGCTATGGTTTGAATGCCTCCCAAATCTTGTATTGAAACTGAACCCCCAATGTGGCAGTATTGAGAGGTGAGGCCATTAAGAAGTGATTGGAATAAAAAAAAAAAAAGAAGTGATTGGGTCATGAGGGCTGTGTCCTCATGAGTGGATTAATCCATTAATGGATTAATGGGTGATCATGGGAGGGGAACTGGGGACTTAATGGAAGAAGAAGAGAAATGTGAGCTAGCAGTCAGCCCCTCCCCCAACATGTGATGCCCTGCACCACCTTGGGACCCTGCAAGCAGTCCCCACAGTGAGAAGGCCCTCCCCAGATGTGGCTCCTTGACCTAGGACTTCTTAGGCTCCTTAACTGTAAGACATGAATTTCTTTTCTTTGTAAATTACCCAGTTTCAGATATTCTGTTATAAGCAACAGAAAATGTACTACTACAATCACCTACAACTACCTCAGTTTTTACCTCCACCATTTTTGTCTAGATGATTATGACTGCCTCCTGCTGATATTTATACTCCCCTCTAGGGTGATCAAATACCAAACCACTTCTCTCCTTTGCATAAAACCCTTTAATGGTCCCCTTGATGCTTATGGGGTCAAGTCCAAACTCTTCAACAGCACAAATTAGCAGCCCTACCTCATGTCCCACTGTCCCTGTTGCACCCTCTGTTCTAGCCATATTGAACAACACACTTCCTATTTTGTGAACATACTAGTCTGTGCCTTGGCTCAAACTATTTCCTCTGCCTAGAATGCTTTTCCTCTTTTTCTCACAGTGAAAACCTACTCATCTTTCAAGCTTCTACTCTAGCATCACCTCACCTATGAAAGACCGTAAGTTTACTCTCTCACAGTTCTGGAGGCTACAAGTCTGAAATCAAGGTGCTGACAGGGCCCTTATCCTTTGGAAGGCTCCATCCTTCCTCTTCCTAGAATCTAGTGGGTGCCAGCAATCCTTGGCTTTCCTTCCTTTGTAGCTTGATCACTCCAACCTCTGGTTCTGTCTTCACATGGCAGTCTTCCTTCTGTGTGTGTCTTCTCTGTGTCCTCATGTCTCCAAATCTCTATCTCCTTATAACAACCAGTCATTGGATGTAGGGCCCCCTCTAATCCAGTATGACTTCATCTTAACTTGACTACATCTACAAAGACCATATTTCCAAATAAGGTCACATTCATAGGTACTGGGGTTTAGGACTTCAGCTTATCTTTTTGTAGGGCACATCAGCACACACTTTCCCTGACCCCTTCCCTTCTTTGCATCCCATAACTACTTCTGCCATAGCATCCAGAATGTTGTGCCAACTTGTTTACCTTTGTATATCTTCCCTTTTTAGAGTGAGATCATGTCAGTGTTCCTAGAGCCTCCTATGTCACATATGTGCTAACAAATATTAATTAAATGAATGAATCCAAGTGGAGGTATCTAGTAGGCAATTAGGTATATGCTAATGGCTATGTTGGACACAAATAATATGGAGTTTTTAGTATATAATGTTTGGAATAGTAATTGCAATATTGGTTTTGATATTCTAGTATTCCAGTATCCTAGAATCCTGATCTATTTTTAAGTAGTGAAGAATTTTTCAATATAAACTGTTATTTTGGTATTCTAAAATATAAATCATTTGTGTTTTGAGACATGTCCAGAGAGTTATGTACAGCACTTAGGTTTCATATGAAATAAGGTTACAGTTTTAAAGCAGGTATACTGACTGCATCATTCTTTCTTTAACATCCTTACAAGGTACCTTTTTGTTTTAATTGTTAATTTCAATGTCACTTATAAGATTGGATCTCTTATTTTAAGATTATTAGTTGTTTGCATTTCTCCTACAGCCAGATCATCTATTGCTAGAGGCCCCTGATGGAATCTTTTTAAAATAAGGTTGGGGGTGGGGAAATGTTAAGAAAAATAAGAAGAGGGCAGGGTTAAAAGAGGAAAGGTGTCAGTGAGGAAAATTTCCAAGACCTGACTTCCGGCCTTTGCCTTGCAGCCTGACCACCTGCGTCCTACCAGGATTACAAACCTTCTGCCTCTCTCCTTTTGTTATCCTCCAGAGCCATTTTCCTAGGGCTGACCCTTTTTACCTAACGGATAATGTACTTTAGACAGGGCCTTCTTCCCTAATGATATTACCTGGAGAGACTTAAGCCAGAAGGGCTGAGGAAGCCCAGTCATGGAACCTGGCACACTCTCAGGTGGAATGACCTCTGAGACAAGGCATAAAAGAGGATGGTGACCACATCTCACTTCTTATTAAAGTAATGTTATTGATACCAACGCCATATTTTCATATTATGCAGAATCGATGCTGACACGCCAGCAAGGTCATTTTATCTCAGTTTTGCAATTGCTAATTTGAAACCATGGGCACAGTGAGCAAACTGCACACTCTCGCTGGTCCTGAGCACATTGCAGTATTTGAAAGGTGAGAAGTGACAGCACTCAGAAAAGGACACACCAGATTTCTATGACTTCTTTACCATAGGGTCACAGATGACTTTACTGCTTTGAGTAGTTTCTAGTCCCTGGAAAATAGTGCCACCATAGTAATTCATTCCTAAGAATTCTAGATAAATGGTATTTTACTGTTTTTACTCCATCCCAGTGCCAAGGTCTTTGCTGGTTTCTAGTATGATGGATATGTTAGAATTTTTATCTTATAAGCTGTGATGCAACCATTATTCTCTTTGGCCACTTTAAGTCTGGGGCTCTATTAGCTAAGTGGAGATGTAACACAGATGTCTGGGTAATTGAGGCAAATTGCCTGTTTTTGACGAAATTACTCAGAAGCAGAATGAAAATTCCTTTCTACCTGCTCCTTTCTAGTTATATCTGACAAATTCTCTACCCCTAACTAGCCTTTGACCTATTCCTCTTTAGGAAAAAGGACTCATTTCTCTGTCTCTAATCTCTCCACATCCAGAAAATACTAAATATTATTATTATTATTTTTATTTTTTTATTTTTTTATTTCGGCATATTATGGGGGTACAGATTTTAAAGTTTCAATAAATGCCCTTCCCCCCTCCCCCCAAATACTAAATATTATTAAGTACACATGTTCAACACCAAAATATACCTAAAACAATTAATATACACCGTGAAATCAATAGTTTCTGTCATTTTGAGACTGTCTTAAAAAAACCCCAATGACATATGCTGGCATGTTATAATATAACTTAATTTATTTCAGAATATCATTGTAAGAAACATAAACATATGTAGTATATCATTTGACTACAACAAAATAGTTTGAAAGTGTTGAAGTTGGAACAGTCCTCTGCGATCATACAGTCTGACTTCCCACCTCATGCAGTCAATGACATTCTGTCTCTGCTACAGCGGCAACATAGAACTTGCTATTTTGCATGGGGGCTAATTTTGCTGTTGAACAGTTTAACCCAGTTTTTTTTTTTTTTTTTTTTTGAGACAGAGTCTCACTCTGTTGCCCATGCTAGAGTGCCATGGTGTCAGCCTAGCTCACAGCAACCTCAAACTCCTGGGATCAGCGATCCTTCTGTCTCAGCCTCCCGAGTAGCTGGGACTATAGGCATGCGCCACCATGCCCAGCTAATTTTTTCTATATATTTTTAGTTGGGCAATTAATTTCTTTCTATTTTTAGTAGAGACGGGGTCTCGCTCTTGCTCAAGCTGGTTTCGAATTCCTAAGCTTGAGTGATCTGCCCGCCTTGGTCTCCCAGAGTGCTAGGATTACAGGCATGAGCCACCGCACCTGGGCTAAGTTCTTATTTTTAAAAAGCTGTTTTTTATGAGCTCAAATCTGCCTCCCTTTAGTCCTATCTGTTTGGTTCATTTTGCTTTTCAGAACCATGGTGAACGTTTATTCATTCAGCAAACACTGATCGAGCACCTGTGTAACAGACATGGTGCCTTGTCCTAGAGATGCTGAGGTGAACAAAACAGAGACTCAGCCCTTTTGGAGTTTAGATTCTAGTGATAGTCTAGAGGATTAGTCTACTAGAACTAATAAAAGAATAATTCTACTTCTACATAACTGTCAGTGTTGGAAGTCAACCATCACATTTCCCTTTAGTGCTTTCCTGTTTCTTAAACTATGCCTCATTTGATGTAGTTTTTATGACAATAGCTATTGAGCTAGAGTGTTCAACTAAAAATTCCCACACTAAAGATGGGGTTGTCACCCCTGATGAAGTGACATTTAAGCAAAGACTTGCGTGAGGTTGGGGAGCAAGTTATGTGAAGATCCTTCATTCCTGGACGAGGAGTGTTCCAGACATGGGACATCAGGGATGAATTTGGTAGTTGGGAAGCATCAAACCCAGCAAGGTTAAAGGTAGGGGAGTAGATCTTTTGGAAACCTGGCAGCCCTTTTGACCAGGGTAAAGACTTTGGATTTCTTTCTAAGTGAGATGGGAGCAATTGGAGGTTAAAGTATTTAACTTCAGGTATTTTTGTGAAAGGCATCTTCCATTTTATATGCTTGCTAGCTATTTTTGTTTATTAGTTCAATTCTTATGTAGCATCTTTCCTAGGTGGGCTTTTTCACCTGTCAACGATTACCTTTTGTAGCTCTAGGCTTTGTGATTCTTAAGGC